GTCTTGATTACACTGCTCTTGCCCTGGATAGAGGGGGATGGAAGCACCTTCCTCATTGCCAAGGCTCTCAGGCTGCCTGCTGTAGGCCTTTATCCCGAGTGTAAGAAAGGCAGACAATCTTTAATTTGCTGATTTTACACTAAAAGCTGTCATGAGGCTGAGCAACGATTTTACACTTTTCTGTTGCTTTTCAATTATTTCCCTTTTCCCCTCCAACAAAAACAGAGAGAGAAATCCAGGTCTGAAGTTTGAGTTAATGGAACCCATGTTTAATCTGGAGAAAAATAGTTTAAGACGCACTTTCAGCATTATGTGCTCTGAGTGCTTAGTAGTCCACTGACAGTGATAACTCTGATTTGTTCCTAAATATCCCTTGTCCCTTATCTACAGTGTTAAAAGGGAAAAACTGAGACCTGTTACATTTATTAAAGTTTGCTGGCACAAGAAAAAGTTTCCAAAACTGGGTAACATTACAGACCAAAAATGGCTTAGAATGCGTCTTCTTACAATGTGGTGAACTCATAAAAAGACAGGAAATGGCATACAGATTATCCAATTAATGGAATTTGGTATTTACCTTATTTGGGCATAATTTGGCAAACTTCAGTTTGGGACTGGCTGAGAGGTTGGCTGCTGTAATTGACTGAGCCTTGGTTGCTTAGTTACAATGGTATATACTCGGGTTAGGTTGTAATTTGCTTGTATATCAAGCTAGGTTGTAGTTTACTATATATGAAGACTGCTTGGGGCCAAATTTTATCACTCATGTACAGAGGCTGGTTTAGACCACATTTATTTCAGTTTAAGACCAGAATAAAGAAACTTGGAATTTTAGTTGAGTCAATGGTTTCCAAGTTAAAGAAATAAAGAAATATTTCAAGCTTCCCTTATAGCTCAAGTATGGCAATGAGATTGAATTCTGGTAAGTAAGAAAGGAAGAAGTGGTTTGTATGATTTCTTGGAAGTGCCCTTAAACAAAGAAGATCTGTTTTTTCCCCCTTCTTACTCTTGGTTGGAATTCATGTGACAATGTCTATGGCTGAAGCATTCATTTTGGTTTGCGGAATAATTCTGGGAATGGATGTTAATGCATGAATGGAGCAGTCAGCAGAAGCCTGTGTTCCTAATATCATAGAGGTCCATACCATCTTTGATACCCCTATCTGAACATTTATATAAGAGAGAAGATGACATCTATCCTATTTACATTACCTAGTGGGGATACACATATACTACATGGCAAGTTCACAGCATGTCCCCTTAAGGGCCAAAGATGCTACACTTTTGGAAGTTAGGAAAGGGTGGTATGGCATTTGAACTCTGACTTACTTACAGACAAAGCTGATTGATTACTTACAGCCAGAGCTATTGCAAACTAATATAAAGGTAGCAGGGAGATGCACAGAAGCAGGGCTTGGCCATTCCTCCTGTTTGCTTTTTGAGTTAGAGAGAGATCAAATATCATCATCACTTTACCATGGGAAACTCCTTTTATAAAAGTATGAATCAAGTCCTTCATTCCAGCCTCCTTCTCCTTGTCCTCTTACTTGGTCTTCAGAAGTTGCTGCTGTCCTCTTTTGTGCCTGTCACTTCTCACAGCACCTGACTGTATTGTGCCTTTGATTTGTTCTGTGTTTGCTGCCTTGGGAAGACTATGGGCATCTGGGGATAGATAATGTTTCTTTTGTAACAACTTTTCCCATTTACAGTTCAAAACAAAGTGTTACTTAAGTTTCAGACACTTCATAAACTTCCTAATTGGAGTAATTTGGAGTGCCTTTTTTAAAATTTTTATTGTTGGTTGTTCAAAACATTACATAGTTCTTGATATATCATATTTCACACTTTGATTCAAGTGGGTTATGAACTCCCATTTTTACCCCGTATACAGATTGCAGAATCACATCAGTTACACATCCATTGATTTACATATTGCCATACTAGTGTCTGTTGTATTCTGCTGCCTTTCCTATCCTCTACTATCCCCCCTCCTCTCTTCTCTCTCTACCCCCTCTACTGTCATTCATTTCTCCCCCTTGTATTATTTTTCCCTTTCCCCTCACTTCCTCTTGTATGTAATTTTGTATAACCCTGAGGGTCTCCTTCCATTTCCATGCAATTTCCCTTCTCTCCCCCATTCCCTCCCACCTCTCATCCCTGTTTAATGTTAATCTTCTTCTCCTGCTCTTCGTCCCTACTCTGTTCTTAGTTACTCTCCTTATATCAAAGAAGACATTTGGCATTTGTTTTTTAGGGATTGGCTAGCTTCACTTAGCATAATCTGCTCTAATGCCATCCATTTCCCTGCAAACTCTATGATTTTGTCATTTTTTAATGCAGAGTAATACTCCATTGTGTATAAATGCCACATTTTTTTTTTATCCATTCGTCTATTGAAGGGCATCTAGGTTGGTTCCACAGTCTTGCTATTGTGAATTGTGCTGCTATGAACATCGATGTAGCAGTGTCCCTGTAGCATTCTCTTTTTAGGTCTTTAGGGAATAGACCGAGAAGGGGAATAGCTGGGTCAAATGGTGGTTCCATTCCCAGCTTTCCAAGAAATCTCCATACTGCTTTCCAAATTGGCTGCACCAATTTGCAGTCCCACCAGCAATGTACAAGTGTACCCTTTTCCCCACATCCTCGCCAGCACTTGTTGTTGTTTGACTTCATAATGGCTGCCTGCCTTTTTGAACCCACTCACTATCTATACTATTTCTTATGTCTTTTTATTCTCACCTTCTGATTTTTTTGTTCTTTGGAGAAATTATTTCTACAGGACATTGAATTATGATGCTCTAAAATCCAGAGAGTCCATCAATTCTCTGTAAAGATTTTATATGTGGGAATATGAAATTCTGCCTGGAGAGAAAGTCTATTGCTTGTTCAGAATTAAAGAAAATAATCAGGGCTGGGGTTGTGGCTCAGTGGTACAGCACTTGCCTAGCATGTGTGAAGCACTGGGTTCGATGCTTAGCACCATAAATAAATAAATAAAATAAAGGTCCATTGACAACTAAAAAAAATATTTAAAGAAAATAATCATGACTCTGGAAGGCAAATAAAAAAAATCTTTGGTTAATTTTGATAGCTAAAATTGATTGTTGGGGGTGGGTAAGAGAAGGAATGAGATCTACTTGGATGATTCAGTTTATAAAAAAGACAAATTCACTTATAGATCCATGTATTTTTTTTATAGCTAAGAATTTTTAAGGCTTAATTTTCATTCTATGCTTTTGAAGAGACTTTAATCTTTAATCCCTAAAGAAGTAACCAGACAAAAGAAATCAAAGGATACACTAGAAATAAACTGAAGCAATGCTTTATTGCAACCACAAAGCACCAATTCAACAAGGCATTGACACACAGGGATTGGACAGTGTCTCTTTGAACAGAGATGTAGCAAGCCCACTTTTTCAATTTTTTAGGACAAGTACTCAAACCAGGAATCAAATAAAGAATCAGACAATTAAAAAAATATTCCAGCATCATGAAGGAATATATATAAAAATATTCTGTACTAATAACAAGGCTTTTATCTATAACTCTTGGCAACTTTTTTCCAGAAACAAATTATTATAAATACTAACCATAAAGTAAAAAAAAAAAAAGCTTTCTAAATAAAGAATCAATATAAGCAAATCTATGCAGAAAATACCATTACCCATATGACAGCTAGCTGAATACGGATGGATGTCCCCACTACACAACAGAGTTTCTCTATTCAGAGCTGTGACTCTGCTCCCAAAGGGGCCAAGATGCACCTCACTTCAAACATCGCATGTAGCAAATCCCAGTGAAACCTTAATAAGGTCAAGTGGAGGACCCTCTATAAAAAAGGGTGTTGGCAAATCCATCCAAGTAATACCAGCTCTACAGAGCAGAGGAGTTCAAGGGAGACAAGTGATCCCTTTCTATTTTTTTCCCCTCCCCAAGTACGTGTGCTTTTACTCTAAGTCTATAACCCAAAGATGCTTATTCCATTAAAATATTTTTTAAGGAATTTGGGGAAAGCAATCCATGAAGAAATGGAGAAGAAAATCCTTATGATTTCAAAACCTTTGTGGGGAGGGGTATCTAACAGTATCAAAGATCATTCTACTTGACAAACTCCATAAGGAAAACCACCTGTGTATACCTTGTCCCTGCTCCTCCTGGCTGGATTCAGGCCAGCCGATGGATTGCCTAGTCTATCCAATAGGATAACGTTTCATTTGATTGAAATTCTTTACATATACACATGTATGTATTCTGTTTACAAAGTTTCATTACATGAAACCAAATTATGCCACTGTGTATTTTTTGAGGTCTAAGACCCCAAATGACTGCACTAGGAAGAGCTATTCTTCAAGTGCTTAGTCTGCAGAGGTTTTACGTGATATTCATAGATTTTCAGAGCAGGCCCCAATTTTAACTGAAGTCCTGTCAGCACATCATTCCTTGTCATCAATAGCAGGGATTTTCCATCAATTTCCTACAATGGAAGCAGAGGATAAAACCAATATGTAAGTCTAAAAGTTCAAGGATAATGAAGAACAAAGGAAGCTCAAACACAAAAGTCATACCAGTTGTCCCCAAGCTAGCAACATTGCTTTTTTTAGCAGTGCCAAATGCAAAAATCATAGGATCTTCTATTTTTATTTTTTCATCCATCACTTTTATTTTGGGATTAAACACAATCTATAGCTGATCTTGTTTTCAAGATTACATAACAAATTTTACATCTTAAAAACTCATGGCAAAACACACACACACACACACACACACACAAACACACACTTCATGGCAAGTTTACAGCATGTCCCCTTAAGGACCAAAGATGTTACTTTTGGAAGTTAGGAAAGGGTGGTATGGGAACTCTTACTTACAGACAAAGCTGATGTTCTTTTAATAACCTCCTTCTGATCCTCTTGACACTGAGAATTAATTATATATTATCTAAATGGCCCAATGGGGTCTAAAGTCTTGGCTGTCTCTGGGAATCTTGTCAATTTCAACAATGAGCACTGGTAAAATGACATCTTCTAGGAGGTTGTTTCTACCCATTAAAAGAATCATTCTTTTTTACCCTAAAACCAACCTCTCCATTCTGAGGGTTTCTACCACACTCCAACTCAATAGATCCTCAGGATTCCAAATAATATAGTGAGGGGTGATGTCCTGCCAGCTGAAAATCAGCCCTGTTCTGCTGAGTCTGTTCCTCCCATCCTGAAGTACGCAGTTAGGTGCACTCCACTCCAGTCATTCTGGAGACTATGAAGCTTTGGAGTAAAATTAAAATGGCCTTCTTACCAAAGAGGTAGCATAGAAAAGTGTCTAAAAGCCCTAAGCATAGAAAGTGTCTGGAAAATTCTAGAAAGGAAACATTGAGACTTCTGACTGCCATCTTATATTTGTTATTGTTTACTGTAGAAACCTTAAACTGTTAAGAATCTGAGTTGATTCTTAACAAGGTGGGGTCAGAAGGTGGACTGGCTGTCTTGGTATTTTTGTTTATGATTTTACATACTCACTTACTCCTGTACTTACCTGGATCAACAGACAAGGGAACACGAGGGGACACATTATGCAACAGCACTATATGAAACTGTGACTCCGTTTTTACCTACCTCAGGGAAGCCACTCCTCCCAACCCTTTTGTGTACCTTGCCAGGGAGTGAAGAAATGTGCTTTGGATGCTTAAGAGTGTAGGAGTAACAGCTCCAGGTTAGGGAGCTGTAGGAAAACCCACTCTGTGACCTCAGGCAAGACCCCCTTTCTTCTCTTTCTTCTCATGGGGTGATGTGGGAACCCGGGGTTTCTGACAGGTATCCATGAGAATGCTCTTGAGCACATACCCTGAGCCAGGAGTGACAGAAGTGCATGCTGTTCTCCCTTGAACCATGCTCTTCAGGACTGTGGTCCTCATTTTACTTGTCAACTGCCTAGCACGAACTAGAACTGAATAGGGAACTCCTAGCTGGTCTACAGTGTTTTTGAGTTTGGAAACATTTATTTTGTTAGCTATTAGTAGACAAAATGTCTTGCATTAATTTGTGAGATACAACTATTCAAAACACTACCACATTAAAAAAAATTGCTTGCTATGGCAAAAGTGGAAAATCACTAAGGACATAGGAACTGACTCTCATGATTAAGCTCTTTCTCTCTCACTCTCCCTTTCCATTAGTGAATTCTGTAAGTTTAAGAAGGAATTTACTGTCTTTCAGTTTCTCATACTATTGAGAAGTGGTTTTTTTCTCTGGTGCCTCTTATTTGACTTTACATCCTTCTTCTTCCCTCTATCCCTCTGTCCATCTCATTCTCTTTCCACATCTGGAAAAACTTATTATTTCCTCTCTGGCCCTGGTGTTACCTGTAGAGGAACTCCTGGTGCCTGGAAATCACAGTGGCCAACCTGAAGACATGGTGAGGCCTCAGGAACCTGAGTCACACACAGGTTCCTGCAAAGTCTGTCCTGGGCACTGATGAACACTGACCTGGAGAAACCCTTCCTGCTCTCCATCTTTTCATTGATGGTGATTGCTTATACATAACACTTCTACATATTTTAAACAGGCTTCAGGAAAGAGGAAATTTCTTTACTTCTATACAAGAAGAAAACTTCCTTTTACTAACAAAGTGAATTTTTAAAAAAAATCTTTTCTGATTAAAAAAAGTCCTTCTACTGCTCAGCATTTCTGTCAAAACCAAGTTTGTCTGTGAAAATTGCTGAAATTTGAATTTTACTTAACATAAAATGGAAAATCATGTTTTATGCTCCAACTTGATTATCCCTTTTTTCAGAAAATACACTGCAGTTCACCTCAAACCAGAGCTGGTAGAAGGAAGCTCCATCTGGAGACGTTATTATTAAAAAGTTGAAATGTATATTGTTAATTCATCCATATGAAAAAATCTCCCTTCTTAATCCATGACTATGCAGCTCAGATGAATGAGGGTGGAATATAGCATAATGGAAATGTAAGCTTCCTAGTGGGCAAACCACAGTCTGAAGCCTGTCTCTGCAACTTACTGTGGGCCTGAATCTTCCCTGAGCCTCAGTTTCCTCACTCACAGAATGAAAATAAAACCCTGAATAACACTCTGGTGATTAGAAATGATTGATTTAAAGTGCCTAACACAGTGCCTGTCACGTAGGAGGCTCTCAGTGAGTCCTAAGTAGAGATGTATGGGCTTTGAAAGAAATGAGCTGTGTTCTGAATCCAAATCTATCTTTTGCTTCCTGTCTTCAAGTATGGGCCCTTTGCCAGAGGGAAGCAGGCATATTCCCGTTCAAGTTCAGAAAATTTATTGCAATTAAAATGCTCAAAAACTACACAAAATATTTTTCTAATAAAAATTGCACACATAGGAAAGTTCTTTAAGAAAACTGATAATTTGTTATATAACTCCTAAAAATGATTATGATTGCAAATTAAATCTAAATTTTGCCAATCATCATGGTATACTGGAATGAGCTCGGCACTGGAAATTGGAAGACAGAGATTCTAGTGCAGACTCCATCAGTAATTTTCCATAAAGAACAATTCCTATGGATCAAAATATGGTCATTAATACAAATGGAAGGGGCTGAAGTGCAACCAACTCCAACTGAAAGGATGTGGGCGGGGGAAAAAGATCCCAAGATTTTGCATGTACATACAAAAACAAAAATATAATTCATATCTTTAGATTCCTGTGTTAATAGATTCTCATTTGTTAGTTTCAGAGACACTTGTTACGGCGATTCTGTCTTCAAGTGAAAGTGACATTCAAGTTCCTGTTAGGCCATAAAATTAAAAATGCTTGCATAGTACGCATGCATTGAAGTAAGGTTTAGAGATGAAAGATTTAAATTTCCAGTTAGGATGAGACCCCAGATTTTAAAATAAATGAGTAGTCATAGAGCAGTAGATAAGAATGTGCTTTAGAGCAGAATCCTATTTTACTGCTTATTAGGTGGGGCCTGGAACATGTTACTTAATCACTCCAAGCCTCATTTCCTTATCTACCTGATGGGGGGAAAGCAGATACTTAATTTCGCTGTGGAATGGATTTCTGAGATAACACATGTGAAGTAGAATTCCAGACACAGCTGAGATATTAAAACTAAGAAAAAAGCACATAAAAAGCTTAACCCACTTACTTTTCACTCTTTTTCTCTACCAGAATCAACCTATCCCTAGAAAACTCTTTGAATTGAGCTGAGTGTGATATGGTCCTCAAACATGCATAGGAAGAAAGCTGAGGTTGGAAGAGAAGAAGCAAAGAGAGAGGATAGGAAAGAAAAAGAACAGCTGTCGAGAAAGGTGACTGGCGGACAGCAAGGTAGAGGAGGCAAAATGTTGAAGAAAAGATAAGATGATGGGGTTTGTGAAGGAGGGCCCTGCAGCTGACTCAGAAGCCTCATGTGTGGTAGTGGTTTGTACTGTCTCTGATAATGTGAAGGGAAAGAACCAGAAGTCTGGGCTAGAGTGCAACTGTGCTGCTTACTAGTTTTTTTGTATCAACATCTGATCTGTTACCTCCTTCCTATGAAATGAGAGGTTTGGACTAAGCTGACCTCTGTCCATTCTAGTTTAGCACATGCTCAGATTTTAAGTCTGTCTTTGATAAGCTTCATATGATACACCAGCCTCATATGACATTCCTCATTACAGAAAACAATAGCAATTCCTTACCAATGAGGTTGAGGAATCTGGTGAAAAAATCTTTCTTTTTCCACTTCAGTCTCTCTCCTCACATGTTCTACAACTTTCCGTGTAACAACTCTCTTACCATTCACCATCTGGCTGCAAGTGGTAACCAGTTTGAAGTTTCCCATTCCACTGCTTACAAAGGGTACAAATGTCTCAGAGGTAAAGGGATTCGATCTGGAGCCCACAGATACAAAAGTGGAAAATCCTGTGTCCAATATGGGGGTCACATCAAAGAGAGAGGAGTGAAATCTCCTAGCCCTATCATTGTGGCCAAGAGAAAAATAGTCTGAGAAGTGGTGTTCATCTTCAGAGTCATTCTCAAAGACATGGCGTGGCCTCTCAAAGCGCGGTTCTTCCACCAGATGTTCCTTATATCTGCTGTCTCTTTTGATTTCCTTTGGGAAGCAGTTCTCTCTGGACCTGTCATAGTCACTGTGTTTCCTGGGATCAGACAAGACCTCATAGGCCTCTGCCACTTCTTTGAATCTCTCGGCAGCAGCCTCCTTGTCCTCTAGATTCTTGTCTGGGTGTATCCGCAGAGCCAACTGGTGATAAGCCTTCTTGATTTCAGAGGAGGAAGCATTGGGAGGCACCCCTAATACTCTGTAATAATTCACCATGGTTCTTCAAACAGTCTTTCCCCACCAAAACCCTGGATTCATTTCCCGAAGAATTTCCATATAATTTTGGAAAGGAAGGTGGTGGACTATTCAAGTTTACACCTTTGACTATTTTAACATAGTTCTTGGGATGAAATCTTCTGGGGAGAAACGTCTCTGGGGTGTAGGGATCTTCTGAATGTCCCACCCTCTCCCCCTGGCCTCCACAGTTCACCATAGTGGGTGACTATGAGCTCAGAATTCTAAGCCAGCAACTCGCACTGATGCTGTACTGTGCTGCTTTTCTATTGGTGGGAAATTTAAGATAGATAATACACATATTGGGGAGGCTCTATGTTATTTAAAAGTAAACATACACTCCCCCCAATAAGCACAGAGTGGCTTGTTAGCAGAGAGAAACTATTTGTGTGGCTCCAAAGTCTTTACCTCATTTGTTAAAGAAACAGTTAAAAGGCAGATGGGTCTTACACTGAAATCAACTCAATGTCTGTGTTGGCTCACTGAGGGGCCAATGTCTTCAATGACTTCATGGGTGTCACACTTATTTTTAATATTTACTGCTAGCACAGAGTGGGTGAAAAGGGGGCTGCATTATATTTTTAAAATCTTGTACACATTTCTCAGGAAGGAAAAAAGAATAAAACTCTATCAAATGAAGAACTGGGTCACAAGACTAATCTAGGTAGATATAAAAAAAGATTGAGGGAGTAGAATTGGATGTGAACACTTCACATATATTAAATAATGCTTTTTTGGTTGAACTGTTAAAGTGAGCCTTTTTGTAATTTACCTCTGGATGTAAGTAGCAGCATCAAATGGTAAATGCTTATTTAAAAATTGGCTTTAGAACCCTAATGTAGCAGGAGCTGCTGGTTGTTCTTTTTACAGGGCACACAACTTCACATTTCCCAGACTTGTTTGTTTCTTGGTGTGAGGCCTGACTAAGTTCTGGCCAATGAAATGCGATGATTTGAAGCACATCTCTTTCAGGCCTGGACCATAAAACCACCTATACAGGCTCCTCCTTGTTCTTCTTCCTCACATTAACTGGTGTTAGTGCACAGATGATCTTGAAAACTGCCAGTTAAAGATGAGAGATCCTCCAGTAGCTTGGTTCTTTGAGTTACGGTGAAGCAGAACATCTCTACTGACTGCCTTGGATTATTTATATGAGCAAGAAATAAACTTCTATTAGAGTTACACCATTAAACATGTTTTATCTACTTGTGACATCTTGGCCTGTTCTGATACACCAACTATTTTAACAATTTTACCTTCATTTTTAGAATCTACTCCTAATATAACATCAAGAAAAGTCCTACCTTTGCAACACTAAATGTCCAACATCCTGTCCCACTGCTTCCCCCTGCCTTCTCACTCTCATGAAACCCATCTTTTCATTTTAACCTCCCTGTCTCCAGGGTTATGAGTCCCTTCTTACTTTTGTTTGCATCAGCCCCATGATTCAACATGGGGACAATTCTTCTACTACCCTCTAAAATATTCCTGATTACACCACAAATACCCCATCCAGGTGGAGTCCAGTAAACCAGTCCCTCTAAATTCTACACTAGGGGCAGCAAAACAAATAAAACCCCAAAACCCCAAAAGCAAAGCATATAAATATAAAAAACCATTAAGAGAAAACACTATATATACTTGCAGTTTGCAACTCTCTGCTGTCAGTATGACATATCAACAGTTATTTTATTTATCCTTTGTCATCTCCCTTTCCCTTTCCACTTGGTATCCATTCTTAATCTTTACTATCTCCTCTAATTCCTTATTAAACCCCTACCTATCCCTCACCACTCTAAGGAGAGTGCTTTATGTGTAGTAAAAGCAAAACAAAACAACAACAGTAGAAGAGGCTGTCAGCAACTCCCTTAATGTCTCTGAAGACAAGAAGCACTAGTCAAGGTCCTCCAGATAAACAGAACTGAAAGGATACTGGTTAGATGTAACCAAGCTGCAAACTGGGAAACAATGGTTGGAGAGAAAGGGTTGGGGTAATTGTATAAGTTCTGGAAAGAATCTGAAGGCCTGAGAAGTAGCATCAATGTCTTAGCATCTAAGGGCAAGAGAAGATGAATGTCCATGGTCAAATGGAGTGAATTCTCCCTTCCTTCACATTTTTGCATTATGGTGGCCGATCAGATTGGATGTGCCCACCCACACTTACAGGATAAGTCTTCTTTATTTAGTCTTTTTACTGATTCAAATGCTAATCACCTCCATAAACACCCTCACAGAAAAGCCATCTGGGCATTCCTTAGCCCAGTGAAGTTGACACATAAAAGTAATCATTATACAAGGGCAATCTTAGATCTGTAAACATCTTCACCTATGCTCCCAACTCAGAGAAAGATACTGTTTTGATTAGTACTAATTCCTTCATATTCTTTTTTAAAATAAAATATTTGAATATTTTATTGATCAAATTAACTCATCATGTATATTATGGCTGGCATTACCTACAAAAAAATTTTATAGCAGTAAAATAAGTATAACATGAAATATACCATGTTAACCATTTCTAAGTATACAGGAGCATTTATTAACATTTATTATGTTGTATAGTCATCACCACTATCTCTTTTTTAGCTTTTTTCATTATCCCAATCAGAAACTCTATAACCACTAATCAATAACTCTTTCCTCCCAGTAGCTCTTGATACCTCTAATTAGTTTGTGTCTCTAAGAATTTGCCTCTTTTAGATATTTCATATAAGTGGAATTTTATAATATTTGTCTGGCTTATTTAACTTCACATAATGTTTTCAAATTTCACCCTTTTATAGCATATATCAGAACTCCATACCATTTTATGGTTGAATAATATTCCATTTTAAGCACATACCACATTTTGCTTACTTATTTGTTCATGGTCACCTTTGATTATTGTAAATAATGTTGCAATGGCACAAGTGCAAGTACTTGAGCCCTTCTTTTAAATTATTTTGGGTGGAATTGCTGAATCATACAGTAATTCTGTTTAAATTTTTGAAGAACTGCCAAACTGTTTTCCAAAGTGGCTGCATCATTTTATAGTCCCACCAGCAAAGTACAAAGGTTCCAATTTCTCTATATTTTTGCTCCTCATACTCTTTTGATCTCATCCCTTTCCATAGCCTCAGGAGGTTTGCTTCATTTAACTGTCCTCAATTTTCTGTAATTTTAACCTGCCCAATTCTTTTGGCTACTTTCCTACATGGAAATAAGTCTGGATGTCTCTACTCTTGGAAAAGAGCTCTCACACCCACAGGACCCCGCAGCCCCTGCCTCTCCTTCACTCATCTGCATTCCACCCACTTCTCCACTGGAAGGGATGGGTCCTCTGCACTCCTCCCACCAGCTTCTTGGAATTCCACTGCAAACTTCACTATCGCTCCCAGACCCACTGTACTTGACTTTTTGGCTATATTTTGAACTTGATTGTTTCATTTTTCTTGGAACTGTCCCCTTCAGAGGTTTCTACAAAAACCTTTCTTTACTGATTCTCTTCCCACTTCCCTGAAAGTTCTTTCTCAGTTGCTTCTTCACCTTTTCTCTCCTAACAGTGAAAACTGTGGCAGTCCTCAGGTGCTGTCCTTGGCCCTTTTCCCCTCACAAGTGCCTTTCGCCTTTACTCTCCTCCTGTGGCTGACAATGACTCTCATATTTCTGTATCTAGGCTTCACTCTTCCTCTCAGCTGTCTGATAGATAGCTTCACTTAAATATCCTACAGACCCATTGAACTTAACATGCCCCATTCTATCTTCCCTTTAAGAACTTACCATCACAAATATTCAGGTTAACCTCACCACTTTACAACCACCCAATCTGGAGACTTGGCAGTCATCCATGCCTCCTCCTTCTCCCACCTGTGGCACCCAGCTCAGTTCTGTAGCTACCTAAGAGAATGAGACTTGACAGCTTTTCACTCTCCATTAGCCAGATTAACAAAAAGTTTTTAACCTTCTTCCCCAAACAGCCACACAACATTTTGGTCAACATACTGCATACATGATTTAGTTCCCATAAGATTGTATTTAGTTACACTGCCTAGTGATCCTAGTGATCATAGCCATCTTACTTTGTGTAAGTATATTCTATCATGTTCGCATAATGATGAGACTGGCTAATGAGGTATTGCTCAGAACTTATCTCCATCATCAAGTGAAGCATGACTGTACTTTCTAACATTTTTTCTCTTTTGAATCCTAATGGGACCATTCAGCCTTTTTCCTGCCTTCAGGTTCCTTCCTTGTCCTTGAGCCACTCTACGAATCTTTAAAAAACAAAAGTCTCAGCACATAACTCCCCACTTAATATCCTCAGTGATTTACTGAAGCTTCTCAGGTAGTTTTGTGTTAGGTAATCCAAACTCTGTTATCTGCACTGCTTATTTTCAGTCCTATCCATGACATTCTCTGTCCCATGGCTACTACTGCAACTCACTTGGAGTTCTCAAAATAAAACCTGTTGTTTCAGGTCTCCCTGCCTTTGTATCTGGTTCTATCTCTGCTAGAATCTTCTGTGTGTCCCTCATATGGTTCCCATATCTTTAATGATTTTATTAAAGTAAAATAGTGCTCAGAGTAACAATGAGCATTATTTTACTTTAATAGTTTTGTATCTATTTTAATGACTATTACAAAAACTATAGCAACTATGAAAACAAGTGAACAAGTAAAAAAAGCACCACACACCTGGCTGTCTTACTATGTATTATAGCTGTTCTAATTTCAAATGAATGATTTGAACAACCACTTGGGTAGTTTAGTTTATAGGAATCTATTCTATTTCAATAAAAAATTCAAAAGGCTCTTTCCTTATCCATTTTGTTTTCAACTCTCTTAGCTACTTTCTAACTGTTGGCACTACCAATCTGCTTGCTACTTTAACTTTTTTCTAAATATTTATGGGCTGGAAGGGCACATCAGTGGAGTTTGAATCTCCACATTCCCTGTTCATCATGCTATAAAAATATTTTAAGCATTTCGGTAGCCTTCAGTTGTTAAGAAATGCCAGGCATCAAAGCACCTTGAGTTAGGCACAGTGGCATACATCTGTAATCCCAGGGGCTTGGGAGGCTGAGACAGGAGGATTGGGGGTTCAAAGCCAGCCTTAGAAGAAGTGAGGCATTAAGCAACTCAGTAAGACCCTGTCTCTAAATAAAATACAAAATAGGGCTGGAAATGTGGCTCAGTTGTTGAGTGCCTCTGAGTTCAATCCCCTGTATCTGCACCCCCTCCCCTTGAATATCTTCAGTACTGGCATTATTAAATGCTGATAAAGCTATTAGAGTTTTCCCCAATGTGTAAGGTTTTAATTGGTCTAATTCAGAGCTAGATTTATCATGAAGCTAATGAAGCTCAAGTTTAATAATTTTTAATTTGAAATTTTGTAATTTATTTTTCAAATTAATTACAGGGCTCTTAGAATCCTATAAACTTAAGGCCCTACAAACAACTTGGCTCTGTCTCTGGTATAATTAGAAATATCCATTTAGAGTCACTACAGTTGAATTCAATCTGGGTATGACCTAGGACACATTGCTCAGGGTTGTTCTGATTGGCTTACTACTTAACTACTCTATTTTGAGGTGCTTAGTGTTACTTGGCAATTTATAATAATAAGAAATTTTATTTCTCCTTATTAAGTCAATGACTTCAGAAATTTATTTAAAGTTAGCAATAAGCCACTGTAAGGAAACCCCAATCTTAGTGTTTCACATGAACAACCTAAACACTCATTGGGCATTTCAGAGTAAAATCTGTTCTTACCCATGTGGGTTGAGGAAAGTGAGGGTTCAATAGGGTTAAATTAATTTGTCACCTTCAGTTGCATATTATTTTGTTATGATATTCTGAGAATAAAATGATCTCAGAGACACAGATTGTTCTAGAAATAGGATCACTGATGTCATTCACTGGTAAGTACAAGATATTTAACAATCTGAACCATATGACAGTGACTGAATGACAGATCTCTATCTTCCATCTTCACATATATGCTGAGTATGTGAGTCAGATGGATTGAGGCATAGAAATAAACTGACACTACAGTGGGGAGAATTGTTTTTGTGACTTGCAGTTAGGTTCAATTTAAATGGTGATTATACTAGAATGCTACAATTCCTCATCTGGTAACTAAAAGCACTGTCAATGTAAATGGCTTTATGCCAGAGAAATTTGCTCATTTAGCTTTCAAAATTTGACAAAGTAAATCTTATCCTAAATTTCCTCTCTGAGGAAAGTGGAGATGCTTTTGGATGAGATTAGTCAAAATGGTCTTTCCCCAAAGCTTTTAGGAAAGTAGAATTCCTGAGGTAGCCTTGTTTATTGAAAACTAGATGACCCATACCCATGAGCAAATACCAAATTTTTAAGATCTGTTCACAAAAACTCTACTGTGTCTCAAGTAGGTTTTGTGTCTTATGCTGTGCATTGGAAGCATGCTTCATAAGAACCAATTCCAAGATTACACCTTTGACTCTTAAAGCAGAAGCTTGAGCAATGTTCCATCTATTTATCTCAACATGCACTTTATAAAAATTTGGATCCTAGAAAGGCAAACTCCTCAGGCAATTGGAAGAAAGTAATCCATGAATCCTGACTCCCTTCATGCCTTTTTTCCCCTTCAGAAAAGTCTGTCTGCCAGAAGACACTTGGGAAAACAGCTACTGTACCACACTGTCCATGAGAAAGAGAGATGGTGCTGACCATACTGGTATCATTGCCTTCTCTGGGAAGGGCTCCTGCTGCCTCCTGCTGTTATGGGCCAGTGAACCCTTTGGGGCACTATGTTAGTGAGCCTAGTAGGCCAGAGTCCCCACATGGTGAACAACTGCAGCCCTTGGGTTGGCCACAAACCAACCCAAGGCGGAACAACATTACTAGTTATAAAAGGGGACTAGACAAAACAATAATATAGCTTAAAACACAAATATTATTGACACTGGGTCATCAATGGTGAGTTAAGCAGGAACTTATGCTTTCCCTCTTGATAATTCTTTTGGCTTGTAACTGTTGTGTATACATAAGGTTCAAACAAAGTTTGCCAGAAAATTTGATAGAGATAATTGTGCCAAAGAAGGAAAATTAATAGACATAATTGTAATGTGGTAGCTGGATGCCTAGACAGGGAAAAGGAAGATAGGGAAAGATCACCAGCTGAATCTAGCTGCCAGCCTATACCATAGTAACTGGGGACACCATCCATGTCCTTCAGACAAATCTTGCTCAACAGCCTCATATCTTCCAAAGGGACACACTGCTAGAAAGCCATATCTGAGTGTGGTTGTTATAGCAACATAGTATCTAATAATATCTGTGAAGCTATATCATTAAGAGATTCTCTCCTGAAAGTCAGCTCACTTAACAGTGGACATGTTTGACATCAGTGTCAGTATCTTGGTTAGTATGGGATGCTATATCAAGATAGCATAGACTAGATGGCATAAACAACAGAAATTTATTTCCCACAGTTCTGGAGGCTGGAAGTCCAAGATCAGGGTTGCCAGCATGGTTGGGTTCTTGGTGATGGCTCTCTTCCTGGCTTGCAGACAGTCTTTCACCTTTTTATTGTATCTTTACATGGTGAAAAGAGAGAGAATAAGCTCTTTTGCTTTTCTCAGAAGAGCACTATTCCTATCATGGTGCTCTACCCTTATGACCTCATCGAGACCTTTTAACCTCCCGAATGCCCCACCTCCACATACCATCACATGGGAGTTAGGTCAACCACATATGCATTTTGGGGTACGCAAACATTAATTCCATAAGAAACTGCCATGAAACAATTAGCGCCCCATATCACTGGCAACTATATTGTGCTTTCTGTAACTCCACTTTTCAAATATGGCTTAGTGGCTGCCCTCTATCCCTGCTCCATTTGGGTCAAATGTCAAGGCAAAGCCTTCCCTGAGGGACTGTAGGATATGGCTGTTTTTATGGTTTCCCAGCTGCTGTACCTAGACATCTATCTGGAAGGATCATGCATTCAGGTTGGAGGTGGACTGCAGTCTTCCTGTCGGGATGTGTTTGGTGAGTCCATTGCCGGAAGACCCTCCTTTCCCTCTGTTTCCTTAATGGGAAGAGGGAAAGCAGGAGAAAGATATGGATTGCTTCCAGGGAATAATTCAAGACTCTTCACCCATTCCACGACCTTTCTATGAGAATGAAGGAATTTGAGCTTCTGGACATGCATGCTTGTCTTGTATTCTGAAAATTCATTTCTCAGGCTCCTGAGTGGGTAACCTCAACACAGAAGCAAGGTGATATCCATTCACCCCTTGAATGATTCTGAATGAAATGTTTCTTTTTGTGTCCTAGTGTACCTGGTGCCAAAATGAGGTCATCCTTGGGAGAAAGGGCATGTTTCTAAGCCAAGCTCAGAGCTAGCCAGATCCATTTCTGAGATCGTGCACAGAATCTGCAAGGCCCAGAGAGCACACTGTCTGCCAGTCTGGGATGTCTGCCTCAGAGGAGTCTGAGCAAAATCCCAGCCTGAAAAGGCTTTTGGGCATTTGGGAATCTGACCAAGAGACCTTTTAGCTAAATATTTTTTGTTGTCACTGCTAATCTTTTATAATATTATTTAAATTTAATTTTAGAAGAGAGCTACTCAACTGCAATGACATAAAGGATATTATACCATTAAACAACAAACTAAAATTTGTTAAAGCTGATCAACTTTCACTTTTTAACCTGAATTGTGATTTTCACCAGAATTTCATTATAAAGATTTTTAAACATAAAGAAAAATTTTCAGCATTTTATATTGAACACCTATATCCATACCACCTAAATTCTACAATTATTATTTTCTATACTTACGTTTTCATACATCTATCCATGTAGTCATCCCTTTATTTTACTGTCAATCCATATTTTTATGCTTTTCAAGGGAAACTGTATGTATCAGTATACTTGCCACTTTTCATACCATTGCCTACTATTTTTAAATTTTTTTTTATTTTTAAGGTAAATGTACATGCTGTGTAATACAGATATGATCCATTCACATACGTCAGTGCATATGCAGTGACCACAGCATATGCCTGTAATACAAACCCTTATCAAAATATAGAGCATCACCACCACCCAGAAAGTTCCCTCATAGACCTTCCCAGTCACTCTCCACTTCACCATTCTTGTCTTCAATTAGAGGCAAACACTTATTTTTTTTCTACTATTGTATTCCTGTTCTGAAACTTAATTTAAATTAACCCACTCAGCATGCTGTGTAACACTTCTTTCAGTGTCAGATTTTTGACATTGACCCAAACTGTTGGATGTATCAGTAATTTGTTCCTTTTTGTCACTGGGTAGTATTCCATTGTATGAATATACCACAGTTTGTACATTCATTTTTTTCAGTCTTCTAATATTTGAGAATTATGAAAAAGATGCTAAGTAAAATTTTTTTACAATCCTTTTTATAGATGTATGTTTTCATTTCTCTTGGGTAAATATCCAAGAGTGGAATTGCTAGGTCATGGGGTAGATGCATGTAGGAGAGTTCTGGTTGCTACACATCCTCATGAAAATTTGGCATTCTCAGTCTTTCTAATTTTAGTTCTTCTGGTGGGTGTAAAGCAATTTAAACTTCTATTTTGTCAAATTTCCAAACTAGCAAAAAAATACATATGTAGAAGGATCAGGTTTGAAGGCAACCCTAGTTAAAGAGATTGAAGTGTATGATATTAGCAATGTTACTTTATCTAAATTCAGGCCATACAACAAATAGCTTGAGAGAATGAGCAATGCTAAAGGGATGCAAAAGAAGCAGGTAGACATATTCTTCAGTGTGTAATTTTCCCAACTATACTATAATACTAGAAAAGTAATTACTGCCTAGAAAACTGCAGCCTTTTTTGCTAGAGAAATAGGAACTGTGTTTCCTTAGAACTGGCCTGGGTGCACCATGAAGTGTTCTCCAATTTACTTCCTCATGGTCAAACCTCTAGGAGGACCATCCCTATAGAGCTGGCTCAGCCCACAAAGTGGAGTCATGAGTCACCCAGACTATTCTAAGAGATGCCTGTTCCTCCATTCCTCTCTCTAACACCAATCCTGGATCTGAAAGAAAGGAATTAACATTTCTGAGCATCAACACTGTGCCAGAACCTCTTAGGCAATTTACATATCTTGTCTTTTCATCCTCACAACATCCCTACAGAATCCTGCACTATTTGACTCTACAGGAGGCTGGGGTGTTGAGGGGGTGTTGAGGCCAGGAGTAAAATGTGCTGCATGTCTCTTGGTCAGATCTCTCGCTCCTCTCTCTCTTTTCAATTTTCTGATTTCTAGTGTTTGTCTGGAGGGTAGATTCCCTCTGCTGAGCCTGATCAGGCTTTCAGAAGATGCAGATACAACAAGGTTTAGCCCTCCTCTCTGCAGCTGCCACATTATCTCAGCCTTGGGTTTTCCTCTGAAGGAAAGGAATCATCGCCTCTCACCTTCACCCTCCTTCCACCTCAGCTTCTTAAAGCCTCACTGTCCCTTTACTGCTCCTTTGGTCCTCTTCCTCATCACTCCCTCTGTCCACTGTGGGGAGGGGAGATAACTGTATTCATCAAGAGTGAGTTACCTGTTCCTGAAAAGCAGTAGCTTGCTCCTCAAATCCTGCTGTTCGGAAATAATTGACGACATCCATCACAGCCCAGTCGGCAGGATCAGGTGGTCTTCCATTTTCCATGGAACTGCAGGACACAAACCCAGACAGTTGTCAGGGCACTGGGTACATACAAGTAAGGCCAGGCTCACTGCTTTTTCTCCCAGTGCTGGACTGGGCCAGCTTGCTGGGACCTTGTCCTTCTCTTCTCTCAGAGGACCAGACAGAGCCCAGTCCCCACCCTACACCCTCCAGAAGGGCTGTGATCATTTTCCATTTCTTGGTGTCAGATGATCACTACTCTTACTGGCTCAGTCACTGCTTTCACAATAAACTATTGAACCTTTAATATAAATTTTTCCTCACATACTGTTTTTTTTTTTAAATCAAAGACATTGAGAGTGGTCCAGTGACTTTTAGTGACCTGTAGCTGGATATTCATTCTGTACTTTGCACTACAATATTCATTTTGCAATGTGACTCCAACATACCTCTCTTCCCATCTCCTGCCACCTTCCTTCTCCCCATCCCTGCACATCCAGGGATAAAACTATTCTAAATGGTCACACTCTTTCATAGACCCCGCCCTCTCACATTCTGTCCCAGCCCATTTTAATGCCTCCTCTCCTGTCTCTACCTGACAAATTCCTACCATTCCTACTAGCTCAAAGTTCACCTCTTCCCTATTTTCTGGCACTGCCAGGTAATTATTTTAGTTACACTCTCCTCTGAGTTCTAGAACTCCATTCAAACTCTCATTGCAATATCTTCTATACTAGATCATATTCTCTGTTAATTGGACAGTCTCTCCTACCAGAGTGGGCCTGTGGGCTAGAGATACACATTTTAGATTGAATCATTTCTCATTTTATTATTCCTAGAGTCAAGTGTGTACTTAGGAACTCAATCAATATTGTTCAAATGAATAAACAGGTGACAGTCGAACATCTGCCTGAGAGATTCCATAGTAACCCTTCTCATTGAATTTAGAAAGGAGGGACAGAAGTAAAATAGAGTAAGAATGGCAATGAGCTGCAATTGCTATAACTCTGCCTCATTTCTATGTTTCAGGAATATCTATCTGATAATCATCTTATCCAAGGATAAATTCCAAACAGTGTAAGTGGGCTTAGGAAGTCATTCAGAACAATGGCCCCCACCTCTCTAAGTTAGGAACACACTAGGAAGATAAACCCACATAGTGCTTATGCTTACAAACCTTATAGTCCCATAGAGGAATATTAATCAATAACCATACAGGTAACCATACAGCTGCAAGTTAGGCAAAATGCTGTAAGGACAGATGCACTGTGCTATAACAGACTTTCCTGTGGAAGTTTCCTTTGAGGTAAGGCCCAAAAGGCAGCCAGAAGTTAACTGTGAGGTTATGAAGTCAGGTGAAGATCCTTCCAGGCTCTGTAGCAGGAATACATATAACCAAGGCAAACCATGCAGATCACACTGAGGCTTATGGATTTTTGCTAAGAGCAATGGGAAGTTGTTGAATGGCCTCACAGAAAGGGGGTGACCTGACCGGATTCATATTTTGAAAAAAGAAGGTATTGGAGAGGAGCCAGAGAGGAACAAACAGTTCAGATGAAAACTCTGTTGCATTCATCCAAGCCAGAGATCATGGTGACCCAGACTAGAGTGGTGGCTATAGAAACGAAGATAAGAATGTGGATTTAAAAGCTATCTAATGAATAAGATTTGTATAACTCAGTGGTGGACTAGACATAGAGAAGGAAAGGGATATAAGTGTTATGGAACTGAACGGAAGTTGGTACCTTCACCAAAATGGCATCCCTAGGTTTGGTTGGACACACTGAATCTGGAGCTCAAAGAAATAAGTGAGCCAGAAATACACATTTGGGGGACAGAAATTTAGATGTTGATTGAAACATTGAGAGGATGAGCAGAAAACTAGGCTTCAAATTAAACTTAGTGAAGTTTAACATTTAGTGAAATTTGAAAATATTCATGTTACTTTGAATAGAAGTGAAATTACCCAAACTTGGGAGGACTACTAAAGATCTTCAGACATCTAAAAGGTAAGGGTCTAACTATCTCATTCATAGCAAAATGTTTTGGTCATAGCAAGAAGCTGAAATAATTGATTTAAAAAATTTAAACCAACTTCTACTCTTTATAAGAAAAGGGAGAAACTGATTAATGGCACATGTGATTGCTCATCTCTCAACAGCACTAAATTTTAAAACATTTAAAGCCAATGCTTACTAGTTGGAGGTGTTTTTCTTTTTGAGTTCAGAGATTGTGAATCTCTAAGCACTGTGTGCTGTGTATCCATGCACCCATATGTGTGTATAAACATTATTTCCTAGTATTTAATAGGCAACATACATTTGGAAAAAAACCTACTTTCACCCTAATGTTGTCAAACATTAATTATGTACTTTTAAAATCAATGCTAAATGTTTTCTTTTTAAGTATTTATGTGCTGGGATTTTCTGTCATTCTAAGAACATAAGCAATCATGAGCTGACACCAGGGACCCTCTTCAAGGTACCATTTTATTTTTCTGTTTTGTTGAAGGTGCGTTTGAAGAAATGTCTGGGCAGGAGTTCTTTGTTCTAGCAATTCTTTTAAGTTTTCTAATCATCTCACTTCTGGAAGTGAGCAGAGTCTCACTGTACACACTTTCAAGTGACTGAAAAGTACCTGAATTCACTTTCCCTATGGATGACTTCAATTAGTCACCTTTCCTTATAAAGAATAGTTATCAATTGTAATAACAAAGTATGTTACATTGTGATTTTAGGATGAGAGGCTTTCCTGATTCTTATTCTGTTGTAACATCACCACTTTCATAATTCTGAAATATCATAAGTACCAACAATACCACAGATAATAAGGACTTCATAAAACTGATGACCATGAAGAATAGGAGTGACGTGAAACTGAGAACTCTCACACTTATAAGGTGAGGGAGTCTACTAGGAAGAAATAAGGGCTAGAAACCAATCAATACATTTCTTGATTATTCTACATAAGATCAAGTCTGATGACCCCCAAATCACAGTAATTTAGGAAAAAAAGGACATTAAATAATTCATTTCCTGAGAAGAAAATCCTATCTTCTTGTAGTTTCCCAGCACCTCGCACAGAACTGACTGGTACATAATTTATATATAGCAGAAATACCGTTACATTAAATGAACTAACAACCAGAAAGCACTTACAATTTATGAAATGCTCTCCAGAAAAGCTCAGAAAGGGTAAGAAACTCACCCAAAGTGTATAATAAGATAAAGCCAGGATTGAATTCTAGACATGCTTGGCTCCAACCTATCCTTTTCCCATTGTACTTCTTTACTGATTCAACAACTACTTACTGAATGCCCATAGTCTGCTGAGTACTGTGTTAGATGCAGGGTTACAAGGACCAAGAATGTATAGTTCCTGCCCTCGAGGAGCTGGCAATCTCGGGAGGGAAAGCAGTTGGAAACAGCTGACCCTAAGAAATACTAGCATTGAGAGGTGAATAAAGTGCAACTGAAGACACATGCAATGGAGGGCATATTAGTTTTGTCTGAATTGAACACTTGAAGATTCTCTATGACGATTTAAAAGAACACCTATGGCTCCAAACACACCCTGAGCTGGGACGGAGGATTTGCTGAGGCACGTGCACTCAGGTGCATATCACAGCTTCTACACTGCTGATGAAAAAGCAAGATGGATGATTTCGTTGAGCCCTTCCAGGGGTTTTAGTGATGGTTTTAAGGAACTACTAAAGATGGAATGTAGCATGAAGGTGGTGGTGAGGTGGAGGCTGGGGGTAGTCAAAGCCAAAGCCAAATAATATCTGGCATGGGAACATTTTGGGGGATAGATTAAAGTGACACTTATTTCTTCAGGGAAGGCAAAGTCTCTCTTCAAGGATTGATATTTATAGCCAAGACTCTTAACCTTATTCCTTTATAAGTGGTCCATTCTCTCTATATCCTTTCTTATAATGTGTGCATATCAGACTCCAGAAGCAATTTAAATAGCACTTTTTAAAACACCTCCCAGTTGGTGGCTCCATTGTGGCTGCTAATTTTGCACTGATAAAATGAGACAGCAGATAGGAAAGTTCCATTGTCATTGGGTATTTATTATTTGCTATCATCATAGCAAAGTGTTTCTTAGAAAATAATACATATTAAGATAATAAATCCTGAGTATTTTTCCAGGCATTGGAATTTTTATAAAATATATATTTTGCCTTATTATAAAAATTAGCAAGAAATGAAGGACATAATTTGTCTTTAATTCCCTCTCTTAATCAAATAAATGTTTCCATTTAACCCAGTCACCTTTTAGCCTTTGTGCATATGGTTAGGTACATCATGCGCTGACAAAATTCTATCATGTGTGAATAATTCACACTAGGAAGTGATTATCCTTTAAGTAAACAATCACCTCACTTTGAAAGAGAGCTAGAGAGATGCGATCATGGGGACAGAAATGCCATAAATAACCATTTGGCAGATATAATACAGATTAATTGAAGACTTTTTCACATGGGCATTATCATAATCAGCAACACTTAAATGTCTCCATTTCCCTTTACATGAAGGCAGGTAGGAAATAGTTGAAATTTTCTCTAAATCTAGCACATGTGTATTTTATGGTGCTTATGATATTATAGATTCTGAAGGTTAGTCAGGCTAAAAAGGTACTCTAGATAAACAGAATCCACATGTGATTTTATAACTATTATATTCATTTACTGCATTTCTATTTCACTGCATTTCTATTTCAAACTTCAGAGGAAAAAATACTTTAAACATTGGTTAACATATTATGGTGATATTTTTGGCATTTTATTCTTTTTTTTACAATTTTGAATGTTACTTATTTTTATACTTAAAAAATGCACTCTAATTCTGTACTGCCTTAATCTTTATACCTTATTTTAAAATTAAATTACCCTGCTCTTTGCCCATATCTTAAAACAGCC